TCCAACCCAGCAGAAGGCTGCAGTTGAACATCCACAGACCCCTGAGGAGGTTGAGTCTTCTCTAATCCAGCAGGAGGCCCCAGCTCAGACTCCAGAGCTCCCTAATGTAGTTGTAGCTCAACCTCCAGAGCATCAGGAGGTAACAGTTTCCCCTCTAAATTGTGATCAAGTTCGACCTCCAACATTTCACAATGTCACTGTTAAACCTGTGGATCACGTGGTTACCATGACTCCAGATTTCACTAATCAGGTTGCAATGTTAACCCAACAGGGGGCTCCAGCTCAGCCCTTAATGTCCCCTGAGCAGTTTCAACATTTGAAACACCAGCAAGAGATTATAATTCAGCAGCTAAATAACCCTGAAAATGATGAACCTAGTTCAATCCATCAAGAGCCCACAACTCAGCCTCCAACTCAGCTCTCCTCAGACTTTGAAAGTTCATTGAATGATGAGATGATATTTTCACCTCTAAATCTATCTTCAATATTCAGAAGTAATTCAACTTTGCCTAATACCACTGTTAAAAATGTGGATATGGAGCTTACCCTACTTACAGCAGTCACTATGGAGGTTGAACCTTCTCCAGTCCAGCAGGACAACCCTCCTATTCCTATTGAAGAGGCTGACTTTTCTCTAGCCCAGCCTGACCTCCCTTCCCCACCTCTGCATTCTCCTGAAAAGACTGAATCTCCAGTCCAGCAAGAGGCCACAGCTCAGACTTCAGATTTCCCTAAGGAGGTAGAGCCTTCTCCAGTCCAGCAAGAGTTCCCAGCTGAGCCACCAAAGCCCCCTAAGGAGGCTGAACCATCTGCAACCCAGCAGGAAGCCTCAGGTCATCCCACGAAGTGCACTGAAGAGATCAGTCCTCCACTGCAATGGGAGATAGCAGCTCAGCCATCAGAGCCACCTGAGATGGTTAAGCTATCTCCAGTCCTACAGCAGGCCCCAACTCGGCTTTTAGAGCCACCTAAAGAGGTAGAATCCTCTCCAGTCTAGCAGGCAATTTCTGCTTAGTCTTCAGAGCCCCATATGGTGATAGAACCCTCTCTGACCCAGCAGATGGTCTCATTTTTGCCTCCAGAGTTCCCTCAGGAGGTGGAACCATCTCTAACTCAGGAGGAGGTTCCAGCTCAGATTCCAGAGCCCCCTGTGGAGGCAGAACCTTCTCTGACCCAGCAGGAGGCTACGGTTCAGACTCCAGAGCTCCCTAAGGAGGTAGAATCTTCAAGCCAGCAAATGGTCCCAGCTCAGCTTCCAGAGCCACCTAAGGAGGTTGCAGCTCAACCTGCAGCTCATTATGAGGTGACAGTTCCAACACCAGGCCAGGATCAAGCTCAGCATTCAATATTGCCCAGTGTCACAGTTCAACCTTTGGACCTGGGGCTTACCATCATTCCAGAACCCACTATGGAGGTTGAACTTTCTCCAACCATACAGGAGACCCCAACTCAGCCTCCTAAGAAAGTTGTACCCCAACTTCTAGTATATCAAGAGGTAACAATTCCAACACCAGGTCAGGATCAAGCTCAGCATCCAATGTCACCCAGCGTTACAGTTCCACCTTTGGACCTGGGACTTACCCTCACTCCAGAACCCACTACGGAGGTGGGACATTCTATACCCCTGAAGAAGACTATAGTTCCTCCAAAGCATCCTAAGGTGACACTTCCACATCCAGACCAGGTTCAGAACCAGCATTCACACCTGACTCAAGCCACATTTCAACCTCTGGACCTGGAGCTTACCATAACTACAGAACCTACTACAGAGGTTAAACCGTTTCCAACCATGGAGGAGACCTCAACTCAGCCTCCAGACCCGGGGCTTGCCATCACTTCAGAACCCACTATAGAGATTGGACATTCCACAGCCCTGGAGAAGACTACAGCTCCTCATCCAGACCAGGTTCAGACTCTGCATCAAAGACTGACTGAAGTCAGAGATCCACATACTGAGCTAGAACCTACTCAGGATTCATTGGTGCAGTCCGAAAGTTACGCCCAAAATAAGGCTTTAACTGCACCAGAGGAACAGAAGGCCTCCACAAGCACCAACATATGTGAGCTCTGTACCTGCGGAGATGAGACACTGTCATGTATTGATCTCAGCCCAAAGCAGAGGCTCTGCCAAGTGCCTGTGCCAGAGCCCAACACCTACAATGGCACCTTCACCATCTTGTAAGAATCACCTTTCCTCAATTGTCTTCTGTGTCCTGCCTCACATGGCAGCCTTTTCCTGGGCGCCTTCCTGGGCCGCCTTTATCTCCCCAAGCCATCCTGACAACTGACTCTGCTTTCACCTTTTCTTGTCAACTCTTCCTTCTCCTCATTCTCCTTTAATGTTAGGCCCCTTCTCCAATCTTTTGCTTGTGATTGCTCAGCAACATACATCTTAAATGTACAAATTATTGAGTGAAAGAAGTGATACAGAAAATAGTATGTATAATATGATTTCATTTATATAATGTTATATAATGTTCAACGTGGCAAAACTAAACTATGTTATTTATGACTGATATATAATAGGTAAAATTACATTTTATTTTATTTATTTTTGAGAAAGGGTCTGCGGTGGTGCAAACACGGCTCACTGCAGCCTGGACCTCCCATGCTAAAGCAATCCCCCCATCTCAGCCTCTCCAGTAGCTGGGACTACAGGTAATATTTAAATTTTTCTAGAGACAAGGTCCTGCTGTATTGCTCAGACTGGTCTTGAACTCCTGGGCTCAAGCAGTCCTCCTGCCTTGGCCTCCCAAAATGCTGTGATTACAAGCGTGAGCCACCGTGCCCAGCAGAACTATTTTATTTATTTATTTATTTATTTTTATTTTTATTTATTTTTTTTTTGAGACAGAGTCTCACTCTGTCACCCAGGCTGGAGTGCAGTGGTGCTATCTTGGCTCACTGCAACCTCCGTTTTCCAGGTTTAAGTGATTCTCCTGCCTCCGCCTCCTCTGAGTAGCTGGGATTACAGGCACACGCCACTACCGCCTGGGTAATTTTTGTATTTTTAGTAGAGACGGGGTTTCACCATGTTGGCCAGACTGGCCTTAAACTCCTGACCTCAGGTGATCCACCCACCTCAGCCTCCCAAAGTGCTGGGATTACAGGCGTGAGCCACTGCACCCGGCCAGAGCTTCATTTTAAAAGCAAGAATATTATTACAAAAGTCAGGATAGTGGTTACCTATAAGGGTTAGAGAGAGGGTTATGATTGGAAAGGGGCACACTGGGGGCTTCTGGGATCATTAATTTATTTCCTTGTTGCTGAAATGATTAGAGACGTATAATCTCCACCTCACCGAGTTGTCATCACCCTGGAGAGGAAGGAGACAGCCAAAAGAGAGAAGTATTGTCTTGTAGACTTATTAGATTCACACAGTATTGTCCTTCTCCAGTGTGCAAGGCGTTGTCTAAATAGGTCCAGTTAAAGCACTACAGTGTAGCCATCTTTTAAAAAAATTGTTGGCCACATTCTTAAGTTCACAGGGGAGGGGGAATGTCTCATCCTCTAGCCCTCCTGAGCCTAGGCCCTGTGTGAGATATGTCACCATTTCTTGGACACCATATTGAAACGAGAAACGTTCCTTTGTGCCCCTTGCAGGGCGTGGGACAGGGAGAGTGACTCGGTTCTTCAGTGCCCTGCTGCTCAAACCTTTAGGGGAGCATACAGACAGGCAGGATGTGGGGCTCCGATCCCATGGCAGTGTCTAGGGGTGAATGCTTACAGCTCCTGAAGCCCTAGTGGGCGTGTGTTACCATGTGCTCTTTTAGTTTTGCCGTCTATAGGCGGCTTGTGTTAACCAGCTCAACTGGACCCTCTACCTTGTCTCCAGGACAGAGGGCTTTCTGTATCCCAGGTTCTTGCCTTGGTGTACCGGAAGAATTGGATCACACCTGGGCTTGCAGAATGAGTGCAAGATTTTATTGAGTGAAGGTAGCTCTCAGCAGATGGGGAAAGCCAGAAGCGGGTGGAGTGGGAAGGTTTTCCCCTGGAGCCAGGCTGCTGAGCAGCCCGGGCTGTCCTCCCACTGCCCCAGCCAAACTTTGCCTCGTTCTGGCGGTTGGTGGCCTGCCCAGCGTGCTCCCCTCAACGCCCTCTCGATGTCCAGCTGCTTGTGTCTTCTTCCGCTGATCTGCTCCTCTCCATGTCCTTGTATGTGTGCCTGCAAGTGTCTCAGGGTTTTTATAGGCATAGGATGGGGGCGTGACAGGCCAGGGGAGGTCTTGGGAAATGCAACATTTGGGCTGGAAAATGAAAATGCCTGTCCTCACTTAGGTCCATGGGCACAGGCCTGAGGGTGGAGCCCTAGCCTGAGACCACACCCTCCTCTACCAGCACTCTCCTTCCCCAATTCCGTATCATTTAAAGGGACCACGCCCTTCCGTATCATTTCCTCCCCTGAACAGGTACATCTAACTGTTGTTAGAATACGGACAATGACCGGTCTTTTGCTGGAGCATGGATGGAGCTAGAGGCCATCATCTTCAACAAACTAACACAGGAGCAGGAAACCACATACAGTATGTTCTCACGTAAGTGGGAGCTAAAAGATGAGGACTCATGATCACAGAGAAGGAACAACAGACACTGAGGCCTACCTGAGAGTAGAGGGTGGGAGGAGGGAGAGGAGCAGAAAAAACTACTGGGTACTAGACTTAGTACCTGGTAGTGATGAAATAATCTGTACAGCAAACACCCGTGACACAAGTGTACCTATATAACATACATGCACATGTAGCCCATAAGTTAAAAAAAAAAGTTAGGCCGGGCGCCGTGGCTCACACCTGTAATCCCAGCACTTTGGGAGGCCAAGGCGGGTGGATCACAAGGTCAGGAGATTGAGACCATCCTGACTAACACGGTGAAACTT